ATTGGTTGATACACCTTTTAAAAAGATGGATGAAAGTTCTACAAATGTTTCTGATGGTAGGAACTGTTTCAATGCATACATTGCTCGGGCTGCTTTATCTGCTGAATTTTGTTAGGCTTCAGTGTAGCAGCCATTTGACTTTATATTTATACCCAGGTAGTTGTACATATCTATACAGGTAATATTTTGTTCATTATAATAGAATTTTTCTGCCTTTTTTAGTGTTCCTCGTCTGAAAATGACAACTTTTGTTTTTGTCAGATTCACCTGGAGTTTCCATTTATGATGATAAACCTTTAAACTGTTTTGTGCATTTTGTAAACCGTTTTTTTTTTTGTTTCAGATATTAACACTAGATCATCTGCATAGAGTAGGGAACTAATTTTACAGTTATTCAATGTAACTGGATCTAATGATTCATCTTCTAGTGAATTATTTAAGTCATTAACAAACAAATTAAAAAGCATTGGGCTAATGACACAACCCTGCCTAACACCCTTGGTCGTTTCAAATATGGGTGTAATTTTATTTTTGAAACAAATGCATGATTTTGTATTTAGATACATATTTTTAATGATGTTATAGACTTTCCCATTTATACCATTATTAAGTAATGGATGGATGGACAGAGGTTTAATAATCACAGATACAGGTAGTCATCTCGACAATATAAAAGCTTGTTAAACATGCATTATATCAATTAGATTAACTTTCTTAATCTTTTCACTACCATTCCCCTCATTTTATCACAAAATAGTCCTTTTTATATCTGCACTTTCTTTTGGAAGATTGTGACAAAAACAGCCAAAAACTGAAAATTGACTCAAATTTTTTCTGTTGTCTCCAAAATTAGGGTTCATTTCCAGAAATATTAAAGAATTTAAGTAAAAAGTGCAGAAAAATGTGGACACAGAAGTCTGGTGGTGAAAATGTTAATTAGTTAGTTCAAATAAATTATCTGTAATTATCTACCAATATATAATTTAATTCAGCACTGATCACAGACTGTTGGTCTAAGGTACTGGTTGTCAACACGGTAACCTATACACCTATACACAGTGTTGTCAAGCTCAATCATACCTGTTTATGGCACCCCAAATAGCTGGATCAGGCATGTCGTTGTCATGACTACCAGTTGGATCATCCTGGAATGATCTGCCAGTTGGTAGGTACGTATTCAATAAATATTTCAATGACTACAGAAAAAGAAGAAAGCAAGTGTCATATTATTCAACAGAAACGTTGTGACATATGAGATTCTCTTGTCAAATACACAATACAATGGATTTGTACAAACAAGTAAAGCTTGACAACTAAAGTAACAAAACTACATACTAGATAAAAGATATGCAGTGAGTTCTACATCTCACAGACATGATAATTCAAAGGATTACACCACGCCCAATATGCAGCTACCATACATGCAAGTAAAGCTGACAAGAATGCAATAAATGACAGACTACACAAGTTTTCTATTTTGATATCAACACAGTACAACCATATTTTTTTTTTTTAAATCTTTTGTGCCAGGCGACAGTTCCGGACATTCAATGTCACTGTTGTTTCTCCTGACTTTTTTTTTATGTGCAAATTGCAAGTGCTAGTGCTGACACATTTTTGCCACAGAAGTCATATTCATGTTTGGGACTAAATGACAGGGCTGCGCGGCCATCTCTCTATCAAATGGCAATTTAATGCGCTATCCTGGCGTCAACCAGGCTCAGTTGAACAAAAGCACCCGTGGACCTTAACCAAGGTTCCTCCAAAGTTGCATTCGTTAGTGAATGAATCTCGGCCAGTGGAATTGGCCTTCCCATTGAGTCTGTGGCACACTCACTCAGGGTAGGGGTTGACCCTTTTGATGTTCAGTCTATGGTAGGAATTGAACTAGGGTCTACAATCATGAGTCTGATGCGACAACCACTATGCTACCATACTGTTACTATTTGTAATTCTTCCAAAATACCAATAATAATTTGTTATTTATAGCAGCATTGTTTTTTCATTTGGATATTTGTTGGGATGTAGTTGAACTGGGAGAATGTAAGTTTAGCTGATCAGACTACATTCTAAAAGGTTCTTGGTAACAAAATAGAATATGAGAATAATATAATTATATAGGACTTACTGGATCAGTGGGATCAACTGGTTTCTCATCTTGATCAAGTAGGTCATCTCCTATTACATTTATTGCTACCAGTCCAACCTGGAGTGAAACAACAAATAATTTCTAATTCATAGATACATGTGTATAGATCTGTGATTTTGTGAGTACTGTAAAATGACTCATTTTCACTGGGTTTAAATTTCGCTGATTTACCATTTGAGGCATATTCAGTGGGTTTTAAATTCATCGTTTTATCATTTAGATAATGTGTTCTATGCTAAATTTTACATAACCACTGGGTTTTAAGTTAGCACATATTCCAGTCAGCGAAATAAGCAAAATTAAATCCCAGTGAATAATTAACCCCTTTATAGTTTCACTATCTGATTCCAGATGGCCATTTTAGTGCTGAGAAATTCATCAAAATAAAGCATTTCTGCCATTCTTGAGCTGGTCGTGCATAGATTAATTTGTTTAAAATTTTGTACATACGTAATGGTACTTTGGTGCATATCGTTTTGTTTTTTGAGATCAGATTCAAAATGACTGACTGGTGGTCATTTTGTTTCAACAAATACTGATTCTAGAAAATAATTCTAAAACCTGAGATACCAAAATGGTTAATTTCTCAGAATTTCTGAGAGAGTAGCTGTGTTTTTTTTCTTCACTTCGTTTTAGATTAGTTATATTTTACCAACATGATGTTTCAGCTTCCTATCACAAGGTGTGTTTTTTTAAATATACATGTAATTTTTATTAATGTTTTCAACATTTTCTCAGTGAAGAATCATTTTCTAAATCTAACACCCCTGGAAGCTTTTAGAATTCTTAATCCTTTAATTAATCCAGTAATGTTGGTAAAAGGATATCAATTTGCAAAATGATTTTTTGTGATATGTAGAGTACCTGTAAACATGGTGCACTGTGACGTTGTACCTGGCTGCCTTGCCCATACAGCTATTTAATATAATAAGCAGACTGTAAAATGGTGATGAATCTTTCTAATTTTATTTTCCGATACATGTACTTCTCTAAAGCACCATGGTTGTTGCCGTATTGGATATGGGTCCCATATAACAAGTGTGTATAATAGATTAATAATTATGTAAATGAAATTATATCAGACACTGCAGAAGTTGTTATTCCCCAACAATTTTCTACTTTTGGACCACAAGAGGGCGCTTAAAATATAAAGAGGATGCTATGCATGTAAAATCTATAAATGGTGCTATATACACTGCTGTTTCAATTGTCACCCTATGTAATTTGAATACATTTGTTTCCATGTAAGTATCATTCAAGATGAAATGCACACCATATTTTGTCACACTTACCTGGTTAAAAAGATTATACTTATTGACATGGTTTTTATGGATCACCAGTTTCAGGTACTGTCCCATTGCATCAACATGAACAGACTTCAATTCACGAGCTTTGAAACCAGTCTTCTCATTGTCTGATAGGGAAACATACCTAATAAAAAAAAAGAAATGATGTATGAAATCATTTTTGAAGTGTTAAAAATAGTTGTAGATGGCATACCATGTAGTAATTCATAGCACTGAGGAAACAATGCTGAGCTTGAAAAGCATATATACCATTTGGAGGTTTCCATCACAGCCTACTATATCTGAACAACCTTTTCACCACCAGACTTTCTGGCTCAAATTTAACTGCACTTTTTTCTTATACATGCATATTCTTCAATATTTCATATAGAGGTGAGACATGAGCACTAGGCAAGAATGACTTTAGTTTCCAATGGGCAGCCTCTTACTGTGATTAGCTTCAGCATTTTTGGATTGTAAACTACATTGTTAGTATGATAACAAGTAAATGTACAGAACCCATCCTTTGAAATGTTTTTATGTCTGTACACAAATATTTTGACCAGAAAAAAAAAGACTACCAGGGTACTACATTGTAGTAATAAAGATATTAAAAAAAATATACATACCCTAAACGTTTATATCGTGTCCCATGTAAAGTTGTGATGTGGTCAGGTGGGAGATTTCCTATAAAAAACTCAATTTTGGTACCTGTGTGAAAAACATAAATAGGTATTCAAGGTCTCCTGTACATACAGTATTAACATACAGTATTAAAATCAATACTTCAATCATAGGTATGCTACATCTTGTGGGAATAAGTATTTTCATACTTATAGCCAGTTTCCATCAACATTACATTTCCTCCAAAATACAGTGTGAATTTTCATAATCGTTGAACAGAAAGTACAGAAGTATACACATAATAAAACAAATCAGCACATTTCCTGCATGAATGTTTGTCTAAAAACAGGAAAAAAAAAATGATTTTTTTTACATACAACATACATACATGTATATGTATATCAGTACATCTCAAACTCACCTATAAGAAACTGATGTGACAAAATTTGAAGTTTTCGGATACGAGCTCTTTCAGTTAATCTCAGAACCAGTTCTTGTGGGTAAAGACAGAACCGTCCAGTCACCCATCCCTTTACAAGAGGATTGTGAACTTCCAGTTCCTTCACACTATACGCATCATCACTGCTACTGGCATGGACGATACTGAACGGTATTTTACGCGGCATATTTAATAAGATGTACCTGTAATTGTAAAGGGTCAAATGAAAAGAATATAAGTGGCACTGCACAAGAAATGGAAAATTATATAAACAGCAAGTGAAAAACTGCAGGTTACAGGACTTATCACTATACCAACCAATCTACTTCAATAGTG